CTGCCCTCCTTAATTCTTCCAAGACCCTTTGTAGGTGTAAGGTGTTCTTCCCATGTCAAGCTATGTATAATTAGATCATGTATATAGGCAGCAGCGCACTCTTGTACTGGTCATAAGACCTTATCCATCAAGTGTTGGAAGGTGTTGGAAGGTCGCCACTGCCCCATGCAATCTGAAAGGCATTCTGGTGAATTGGAAGAGGCCCCCTGGGGTAGAAAAGGCAGTTTTCTCTTTATCTTGGTCGCTTAAGAGAATCTGCCAGTACTCCTTTGTAAGATCTAAGGATGATAGGTACGTAGCGCCCCCTAGTCTGTCTAAAAGATCTCCCACTTTGGGCATGGAGTATGCATCAAATTTAGATATAGCATTGACCTTACGATAGTCAATACAGAACCACACCGTACCATCCGGTTTTGGCACCACTACTGGGTAGCTGTGCCAAGGCCCCTTAGCCAGCTCTATTACCCCAAGGCTCAGCATTTCGGTTACTTCTTGTTCTATTACTGAGGTCAACTGTTGTGGCCAAGATCTTCCAGTCGACCTCACCACCTGTTTTCAATACTATGCTCTACCAAGTGGGTGTGTCCCGGTTTCTTAGAGAAACGTCAGGGAACTCTTTTTCGATCTATTGTACTTGAGCCGTTTGTTGGGGTTCTACCCTTTCATCAATAATTATCTGCATATTCCCTTTCATTTTGACATCTCCTACCTCTGGCCCAAGCTCTTCCTCTTCGCAATCCCCAAAGAGGGTTTCCCTATCTACGTACCCAATGTTTCAGTAGGTTAACATGCAGTACTTGTAGTTTCTTCTTCTTATCCACCATGTTCACTTCATAATCTACCTCGCTAACCTTTTTCACAACCTCATAAGGTCCCTGCCACTTTGCAAATAACTTGGCTGATTCTGTTGGAAACTACTAAAACCTTTTGACCCGGTTCGAACTCCCGGGGTTTTACCCACTTATCATATCTATTTTTCTGGTTCTCTTGGGTCTTGCCCAAGGCTTCCTTGGCCAGGTCCCAGGTGGTCTGCAGGCTTTCTTTTATTTCCATTATCTGTTGTAGTAAGGGCTTGGAGAGGTCTTCCCCCTCTTCCCATTTTTCCTTGACTAGGTCCAGCAGTCCTCTAGGGTTTCTCCCATACAATAATTCAAAAGGGGAAAACCCTGTGGACGACTGTGGGGCTTCTCTCACCACAAACATCAGTGGGGCCAGGAATATATGCCACTGCCTCAGCTTTTCCTGTACCAGTTTTCTCAACATCCCCTTTAGAGTCATATTAAATCTTTCCACAAAGTCATTCGCCTGGTAAATGGACGTTTTCAATAGCTTAACCCCCAATAACTCCCAAATCTGCTTGAAGGTTAAACTCATAAATTTGGATCCTTGGTCAGTCAAGACTTCCTTAGAGAACCCCATCCTGGAAAAAAAATCAACTCCTTGTCTAGCACCTTGGCCATGGTGGTACACAGGGGTATCGCTTCCAGGTACCTGGTTGCATAGTCAATTATCGCTAATATATACAAGTGCCTCCCCCACAGACTTCACCAGCAGTCCCACAATATCTAAAGCAATGTGATCAAAGGGTCGGTCCACTAGGGGAATTGGTATTAACTCTCCTCCGGGTTGAGGATTTGCCTGAGTGATTTGGCACTCAGGGCAGGACCAAAAATAGTCCTCTACCTCCTTGGCCATGTGGGGCCAGAAAAACCTTTGTAGTACTCTTGCTGATGTTTTCTGCACGGCCAAGTGTCCTGCTAGTGGCATATTATGGGCCAATTCTAATACCAGTCCTTTAAGACTTTCATGCAGTACCATCTGTGTTTCTTCCCCAAGGTCTGTTTTGCTTACGTGGTACAGCACTCCGTCCCTCATTTCAAAATTTACTTCTCCCTCTTGTGTAGTTCCTTCCAGAACTGCCTTTAGGTGGATCTCTTCCAGTCTCATGTCATCTTATTGCAAATTCCTCAGTTGATCTCTGGACATGTTTAACATTTCTTCCTCTAACATACAATTTTCAGCTTCCCCATGGTGTGTCTTGGCTATCGTTTGCATCAGTTCTTCCACTCCCAGCCACTCTCTTCCTAATAGCATCTCTCTTCCTAACCCAGGCACCATCTCAGCTTCCATTTCTCTCATCTGGTCTCCTATCTCAAATTGGGCTTGTACCACCCTATAAGGTTTTACATCTCTGTGAACACATTTGATAAAGATCTGTTCAGGCAGTCTGTCTCCCAGCAAGTTTCGTATAAGGGTCTTGCTATATCCAGTATCAACCCTTTTCCATACTCCATTCACCTTTGCTTTCACTACCCAGCCCGGATGATCGTCTGTACCAACCTTAGCCATGAGGGCATATATGTTTGCTCACATGTATTCCTTGGTCGGACAGTATTTTTTTAATATGCCCAAACTGCCCACAACCATAACATGCCACCATATGGTCTTTCGGCATGGTCCATGTTGCTGATTGTCACGTTTGGCCCAGTTCTACTGTTATCATGGGTCTCGGTATCCAGCTACCCATTGGGTTGACTAATTCTATTCGGTCTGGCCAGGTTTTCTTGTAGGCTTGGGTGTTCGGCCCTCCCACAGTCGCGCTCCCTGCTGCTTTGGCCATCTTGTCTTTGCCTTTGGGTTTTTCCACCTGCGTCATTCCCCTATTAAATCATGGCTCTTCTGCTCCTAAACAGTCCTCTAACAAAGTTATAGTGACCTCTAGGTTGGCGGGTTTGATCTTCATCACTCAGTTTCTGGGACCCGCTCCTAACACAGATATAAGTTGTTCCATAATCACAATTTCTAACACTTAGTCTGCCATCTTTCCCTTGGGTTGTACCCATCTCATGGCATTGACCCTCATCTTCTGTGCCAGGGTTCTTGGATGGATTCCCAAGCGTAGTCATAGGTCTCTGAACCATCTCCGGTATGCTTCTTCATTCAAGTTCAATGTGTTTAAAATCGCTGTTTTGACTTTTGTATTGTCACCTGCCTCTGTTGGGTCTAGTGTATCTACTATCTCTTGAGGTAGTCACGTTAAATATGGTATAAGGATCAGTGCCCAGTGTTCTGTTGGCCATTATGCCGTTGTTGCTAATCATTCCAACGTGTTGAGGAACACTGCTGGGTTATTGTGTGGTCCCATTTTTTATAGTTTTATGGTGGTTGGCTTACTTTCTGTTGCATTGACCCTGACGATAACGGTGTAGCCAGATGTGTTTGTGTCAATTGTGTAATCAGTAATTGTTGTTGGTGTGTAGTTGTTTTATGAGGGTTTCTTGTCCTTCTGTTACTTTGTGGAGCCAATCTTCTGCAGGACCCCCCGGTGTCAAAGGCACCCCGCGTTGGGAGCCAATATGTAAGTGTTTGACTTTTGACTCCATGTTCGGTTCAGAGAAATCAGTAGATTTTTGTTGCTTCAAAACAGATGAAAGATTTATTGATGCATTTAACAATAAACAAGTGTCTGGAACATGATTGTGAGTCTTTTCTCCTTCTGCAAACGGGTTCAGAAGGGGCTTCCATTCGTCAAACAGGAATGGGTTTCCAAAACTATTGTTCTGTGGCCCCAGAAGATCAATGGGGACCCAGTCTCTCACAGTCTGCCCCGTTGGGCCTTCCAAAGGGGCACGGTCTCGTCATCCTGGTCATCCTCCCACAGGATCCGTTACTTGGGGTCTTGACTGTCCCAGGATCCTCCCTGTAACTCCTCTTTACCTCCCTTACTCTCCATTCCAATCTTTCTCTCCTTTCTCTCTTAACTCTATATTTTTCCTCTCTCAATCTCTTTCTCCACTCTCTCACCTCGGCTTCTCCCCAATAAGAGGGTCTTAGGTGGAATCTCCGCTCTCCTTCAGAATGTGCCTCCTCCTTGGGCACTCCTAATCCTTCCCATAATCCTGTCCAGGGATCCTGCACCAACACCCATTCCCAACCAGGTAGTAACTGATCCTCTTTCTTCTCTATCTCCCCCATTCCTGCTTCAAAACTCCACCCTCCTTTTCCTCTCTCTTCCCTCCTTTTCTCCCTGAACATCCCCCATCATCACTTTCTGCAAGTCTTCAGTGAGCTCCTCTATCTCTATCTCCTGCTGAGGTCTCGCTGTAGTTTCTCGTGCGGGTTTGGGGTCCACTTCCTTAGCCTTGCTATTGAGGAGCGACAGCTCTCCAGCAAGTGGGGTATCCCTCTCGCCTTCTGTCTCACAAGGACCACAGGTGTTTGGAGTTTTCCTCTTTCAGCATAATTGTTTATGCATATGGAGAGAATGACAAATCTTCCATCAAACAGGAAATACCTATCCCATTAGCTATGAAGGAGCCACAATTTGAAGAAACACCAGTACACAGCAGCTTGGCTTCTCCTCCATGCTTTGCCCATGCTGCTTAAATATCTTGGGAAATGGGAAGCTTCTTTTCCACTTGGCTGCAGAGGGGAAGGGAGATCAAACTTTCCATTTTTTTAACTGTTACTAACTGATACAGCATATCAGCAATGCTTTTCACAGCATTGCTGATGTGTTCACAACAATTAAAAAAAACACTTCCTCTTCTTTCCCCTTCTCAGGCAAGTGGCCAGGAAGTTTCCCATTTCTCAAGATCATTAAGCAGCTTCAGCAAAGTGACAGCCAGGCAGCCACTTTGATTCAATCCCAGCAATCGCACACTCTGAAACTGAACCAAAATGGAACAATCCTACCAACACCATAAAAAACAGTAGCCTCTGACAGGGACTGAAAAAGGTGTGAGTAGCCATTGATCAGGGGCAGGCTGGTTCGAAAGGCATATATGTTATACGGTTGCTGGAAAAAAGGGGGAATCTGTCCAGCCCCAATCCAGACCAGACTGTGGGACAAACACCTGTCTGATATCACCCTCAGTCACTAATCTGAAAAGCTATATCCTCTTTGAATTTCAACAGAAGAGACCTCCTGTGGGAAATAAGTCAGCCTAGCATCCACCCAGGACACTTTTGATTAGAACCCTGTTCTCATATTCACTCACAGGAAACTGGCAGCATAAGAATCCGAGAGGTTGGTAATGCCTCCTTCAGAAGTCGCCCCAATGCCTTCCAGCCAAATCTTTTTTCCAGGTGTATGTGCATTGACAACCTGTTGGTAAGAGAAAACAATACATAACATTAGTCTCCGACATATGTAGCTAATGAGCATAGAGAACACAGATGAGTAGTGGATATGAAATCCTCCCAGTTAAAAGGATTCCTGTTGATATCCACTTCCTGGCATCACCTTGCACCTTCTTATACCTGTACAGCTCTTGCCACTCTGAATATAAATGTCTTTGTTGACTTCCAATCTGCCTACCACTAAGGGCTCAATGACACAGGACCCAGAACTGACTCCCTTCCTTTCACCTATGATTCACATACAGCTGAAAATATTCCATTTCTTTTCCACTGTTGCAAGATGGGGGTCGCTGCATCTTCAAAGTCTCACCATCCACAGAAACAGAAATGACCTAGGATATGCTCAATAACTAGTTCAACTTCTCAATGAGGAGCCATTGTGCTATTTTGTTCCATTGTTTGTTCCACAGTTTCCTTCCAAGCCACATAACACATGGCTGGCTTGTTATATGCCACTGAGCAAACTCACCAAAATCTGCTAGAGTATGTTACTTTTCATTCCCACTAAATACAGATAAGCACATAGACAGTAAATAGGACAATGGCCTTCCACTTTCATTTTTAGACATTAATAGTTTTTAAAATCTTTACATGGCACTTTATTTACAGAAGAAGGCTGTCCACTGCATGGAACGTAAGCAAGCAGCAGCTAAATACACTATATTTTCTTTTTATACTTATAAACATACAACATGAATATGTAGCAAGCACATCTTCCACTGCAAGTATAAGTACTAATACTGTGAAGTTGGGATCAATTGCAGCTCCTTTCTGTATGTACATAATGTGTGAAGTTGCTTTGAATTAATTAAAGTTATAGCAGCCAAAAGAATACACTATGTTGATTAGACCAATTCAGTTGGTCAGATGGACAGTCTTCACTAGAGGACTTATACTTATGTATTCTATGGCAGGATTACAGCCACTCAGCTGCTCATGTGTGACTGACAATAATATACTACTTTGGTAGAACAGATCTCTTGTGATAACTACCACTGAGTTGATAATAAGAGCAATCATGGTTCTGGACATAGCATTTTAACCTTTTGGAGGCCCAATTCATTTCCATAAGACTTTGACCCCAAGCCCCAGTTGGCCCTGGTACTTTCCTGAGTGGTGAAATTAAGATACGAGCATGGCATCAGAGATCCCAGCCTGGGAAATGCCACTGCAACCTGAGACACACCTTGGCAGTAAAGACATGCCCAGGACACAACGGCGCCAGCAAACAAAAGGACATCAGTGAGCAAAAGGCCTGAGTATGCCAGCTTACAGCCCTTTTTGCCTCTGTACAGAACAGCTGAAACAATGCCTAGAAGTACTTGGCCACCCGCCAGGCCTGACTTCATTACCTGAAAGCTGTATGTTGGAGCAGTAAAACAAGGGAGCATGGAGAAAGAGATTCATATTAACTAATATTTGTGCTGGGAGTCTTGCAACTTTCTTTAAAAAAAAGTTATCTCTTGTTAGGAAATGCCTGGTAGAGTACCCTGTTCCCCGAAAAGATCTAACCTGAAAATAAGCCCTAGTATGATTTTTCAAGATACTGTATTCGTAATATAAGCCCTACCCCAAAATAAGCCCTAGTTAAGTGAAACCCCGCCCTCCACCACTGTGCAGCATTGTGCAACAACCAGAAGGTGATGACATTAGTGTATTTGAATAAATATAGATTGTTGTACATGCAAAAATTAAAACATCCCCTGAAAATAAGCCCTAATGCATTTCCTGGAGCAAAAATTAATATAAGGCCATGTCTTATTTTTGAGGAAACACAGTAGCTGAAAATGTTGCCCTAGATCAAGGCAAAGTGTTGGCTAGGTATGAAACATATGCAATATGTATCAGACATTAATGAATCAAACATTCCAGTCAGGAGAAACATAGCCATGCAAGGGGAGGTTCATAGGGAAGCTCATTGTGTCTTTTTATTGTAGATCATAACTGAGAGCGATCAGCTATGACTAATAAATCTTACAATCAAACAAACAAACATATTTTCCAGGGTATACAAAGATCCAGGGAAAGATTCCATCTCACTTCTCCTTATTAATCCAAAAGTCAATTCCTTCCTCCTGCCTCTTTATCTTGATGAGTCTACCGTACAGGTGCTAGCATTTCTATGTCCTGTCTCACACCACAGTCACCATTCCCAGAGCTTGAAAAAGTTAATTTTGGGGTGACAGTTCTCCAAATCTCCAGCTGATGAGCAGTGATGCTGGATGTGGAATATGGAAAACTGTAGTCCAAAAAAACTTAATTCTTCAAAGCTTTGGGGAGGGCACTCAGAAGACATTTTGCTGCCAATGTCCACAGGAAACCTGCTGAGCATTTCATACCTACTTTCCTGGCCTTCCTTGGTTTGGTGGAAAGATGGAATCCCCGCAGGGTCCAGAATACCCAGGCCGGTCCTGAGCAAAGCCCCTGATAAGCCTGTCTATAACTGTACACAGCAAGCCCAGCCTCCATAGTCCATGAGCACTTGAAAGCTCCCCACCCTTGCTGCCCTCTTGCCCCAAACATCCCTCTCACTCACTCACTTTCTGGATTTTCCTGATCTGGTCAGAGAGTGTGTCTAACAGGCGTGTTTTCAGGAAGTCCGTCACCTTGGCCACTCGGCCATCAAGGTAGTAACTGGAATGAAAATGAGAAGGCAACAGTCAGAGAGGAGCTTCAACTATGTGCTCTCCCTCACTCTGGCTAAGAATTGCGCCTCTGATGCCCAAATTTGGGGCTACCCCAAAGTTGTTCTCAGTACTAACTAGGGTTCTAGCTTCTCTGTGCCTTCATGTCACAAAACATGCTATTTCCTTCTCCTTCTGAGAGGTCCTCCATGACCCATCTCTTCACCAAAGTCTTTTCCTAAATCACAATAGCTTAAGCTTGCCTGTATCTTCACTTAGAAATTAGAACTAAGCTGTTTGTCTCATATCTCTCCTAGTTGAGCTAACAAATCAAGTATGGAATACACTATGCATGGCGCATCAAGCATCAATAGCTGGAGAGTAATAGTGTGAAAAGGTTATTGCCTAGAACTTTCTAAATGTCACTTTTATGTAACTTATTGAAATGCCTTCCAAAGTAATCCATTATTGTTATTACTGGGAAAAATGTTTTTGGCGACTCATTCCATGTTCTTCTGTTACTCATGTTTTGTGAAGAAAAACCTTTGTTCAAGTAAAAGAATAGCATAAACCATGGGATATTTTAATCAAAATGCCTCTGAAATGCTTAAATGCTGTTAAAAAACAGCTATAAAAATAGAGTTGCTCATTACAAACAAAAAAATGAACTAAGGTATTGATCCCATTTGTTACACACACACAGAACACACACAATAACTTACTGCAGGGCACTGTATCACCTCTTGCTTCCTGTTAAAGTAAGTGCAATAACATTATATCTAAAGTAAGCAGGGAGGGGAAAGACCAACAGACAGCCAGGATAGCTTGGATATCTTATCTTTCTTGACCTTTGTCATTCATCACTTCCTCTTTAGGTCATTCCCCACTTCTTCAGGGAAATCATTTTGTTCTCCTTTATTTGCAATGGATAGCCAGCAGTGAGGGTGCCTCCATCTCAGCCTTTAGCACATTTCCACATAGAGAAGCCGGCTCCCAGGGCCTTATGTACACAAGTCTAGGCTTTATCCTGAACTGTTTTCTTGAAACAATAAATGTTCACCTTTCTTTCGATCTACCATGAGTATCCTGAGTTTGCGATTCATAGCTCTGACCTCATTTTACTATCCTGCTGATCTGCACAGACATAATTATCATAAATTCCTACACTTCGAAGCCCTGCTTCTTTCGATCTACCATGAGTATCCTGAGTCTGTGATTCATAGCTTTGACCTTATTTTACTATCCTGCTGATCTGCACTAACATAATTATCATAAATTCCTACACATCAAAGCCCTGCTATATTGCTACCATGTTGTGTTAGTGGGCTTCCAAGAGACATTTGGGTGGCGTGTTAGTGGGCTTCCAAGAGACATTTGGATGGCTACTGTTAGTTAGGCATCTTTCAGTCTCGAAAGACTATGGTAATGTGCTCTGTATGGAGGACTTGGAACAGCATCTAGTGTGGCTGAGAAGGCCAATTAGAGAACAAAATAATGGATTAGATGGATTTCTGATATGAACTGGCAAGGCTCTTTTTACATAGTTATCTACACCATACGGTTGCAAGATATCTGAACCAAAATTTCGGAAGCTATGCATTGACAACACAAGGGCTCCCATAACATGCTGAGTTTCCCAAGGGAAAGCTGATGTCTAAGTACAATGAATCAGTCAAGTCAATGAACTATAGCAATGGCCAGCAGGACTGTACCCTTAGCAGAACACTAAGAATAACAGTGTCAGCAGAGGGCTGTGTAACTGGAAAAGTGCTGGATGGATTTAGTGATTGTTTGTGATAGAAATGTTTTGAATAGGGCAGGAAAGTAACAGGCTTGCAAATATTAATTCCAAGATTTACCCAGGATTTTTGTTTCCCAACAGTAATCTGTTCTTTCCAACACTGACCCTCTGACTGTGAAGGAAAAATAATGTTTGGTTTTGTGTGTGTGTGTGTTTTGTTTTTGTTTTTTGCTTTTAAGACAGAAAAAATAGAGATTCCCGCCTACATAGTAAAGCCCCAGTGATTTCTAAAAGCTAAACCTGCTTGCTATTAAACTGAAGATGTCTGTAGCTCATTTGTGTTTCACGCAGCATCACTGGATGACACACACACAGTGTCTGGGCCTAAAGATTTGTTATGATACCTGGTGGCAAACTGTGAGCTCTTGTTTGGACCATTAAGCCTGGCTGATTTCATCACAATGAGGTTTACAATTAGGAAATAATTAGTAAGTTGTTTAAACTTCAGAATATACCCCAAGAGACTATGTTGCTTGCCAAGAATAATAGTTTACAGCTTTATCTAGTCTGTGAGGCAAAAAGGAAGCATTTTTATGAATAATCAGCAGTAGTAATTTATCTATTAGCTTTAGAGCTAATCAACCTTTTGAATAAGACATCATTTTGTCAGTACCAGCTATAAAGGCAAGTAAGCAGGGAAGAGATTTATTTTATCCCTAATGGTTGGATCCAGACTTCATCACACTTTCAGCACACCTCTTAAAATCAATTAGATAGCCAGCAAGCCCAATTGACTTCAAGGGTTCTAGGGCCTAGGCTATGTATGACAAAGTCTGGACCCCACACAATGTATCTTATTGTATGCCAGTTTTCTAAGGGCTTGTCCTTACAGAGCAATTGTTTCTATCACGGATGATTTGATACTTTATCTGATGTGATCTGGGCCTTTCCTCTGGCTTTCTCTGTTTTTTATGTTGTTCCATAGTTTATTTTATTCTAGCTGGATGAAATTTAGTGTTACAGCACTTTCTATAGGGAATTCATTTCCATGTCAGAGCTACTAAACTGGAAGCACACAATTTTAGCATTTTATCAACAAACATTTTTTTAAAAAATAAAGCATCTCCCTCAGGAAAAAAAATAGTTTTTAGCCAGAATTTCAAATCTCCTCCCCTTAGAAAATGCTTCCAAAGAAAAGAATGTCTTTTCCTCAAAAACTGTTTCCAGATATGTGGATCTTCAAAATATAGGGTAACTATATGTAAATCTCAGTAGATCTCACCAAAAATGGAAAGAAATGGAACAGAACAAAACATTTGTCCCATCCAAACAAACCCTAAGTTGCCCCTTCATTCACTTCTTCCTGATATGTTTTGCTTATATTTTCATTATTTATTCATAGGATCATAGAACTCAACAATACTAACAGAGTGCTTTTTTGTTGGTGCTCAAATTACTTCAACTGCATTCACTGGTAATCCTGCAAAAACATTATTATCCCCACATAACAAAAGAGGTAGGAAGGAGAGAGGCTGGGACATATTGGCTGAAATCTACTAGTAAGTCACAATTAGAGTAGGTCCACTGAATTAATGGAACTTACATAGATGTTGACTAACCAAATTCCACTGATTCAAGGGACCTACTCTAGTTGCAACTTGCCACTGAATTTCAGGCATTATATCTTAATTAAGTACAACTAGTAAATCTAGCATTCAAATCAGATTTGGTCTCGGTAGTTCTATGCTACAGGGAGTGCTCTTATCACTCACACTTTCTTAGTAAGACAAGCCATCTAATTGCAGTGCATTCCAAAGATGGCCATATGTCAGTTGACACCAAGTTCTGTCAAACAGGCACACACACCCTGAATGAATGTGCATAGGGAAGTAAACTGTTGGCTCAAGAGCACATAATCAAGGATTTCAAGCATATGGTATGAGTGCCTGAGACTTAAATTTCAGATAGTATCTTCTTGATGCCAACTGACCAGAAAGTTCTCCTGTACAAGCCTAGGAGAGATAAAAAAGGAGTGCCCTTACACAGACAGTGGAGCTCTTCTACAGCTCTCACCCATACTAGTGGAATGTGTGTAGGACAACTCCTTAGATGAGCAGATTGGTTTACCTCCCATTCAGCTATTCATAATGATCTTGGATCTTTTCCATCCAAGGTGGATGCCTCACTTGGGCTCATAATCAAGCTGTCTCGAAGCAGTCGAACGCTTTTTAGTAGGGTGTTATCCAGTTAATTATCTCACCAAAGGATTTTAAACTGATTAAACAATTAACCAATAAATCTACATTCAATGCTTGTGAATTAAGTAACAGTTCTGAAAAAAGAAAAGCATTCTGGTTTTTATTTCACACATATTTTTTTGTCTGAGAAAAAAAAGCATTTCTACAGTGAGAATAAAGGGAGGATACTCTTCTAAGACAGCATTTGTGCCTATGATTTTTGTATATTTTCCATGCATATGCTTTCATTTGATTTTATATGCAGTTGGACTTGGGTTTAAGATGATTACCTTAAAAAGAATTCTCTGATTAATTAGGGGTGCCCTTTTAGTTTATTGAGGGGGATTTAACTGATTGATCTACAGCAAACTTTCCTTTTCCTAACAGTCTTCTCTGAAGCTCCCACTTCCTCTGTTCATCTCCTAGGTATGCAATGGCATCCATATAACTCTGGTTGCAAAAGCTGATCTGTAATTTCCTGGGAAGTAGATGACTCTGTCTTTGGGCACCGGATCTTCCTTGGTCCTCCTAGCTCTTTGATGCTATAATGCATCCCCTCTCCCTTCGCCACAAATATGTGGCAACACAACCTTGCTGACGCTAGAATGCCTTTCCATAGGTAGTAGACATTGTCATCAATCCCAGGAGCCTTGCCCACAAACAGGCAAAAGCATTGTTATTCTTCAGGCTGTCTCTTAATTCCAGCATTTAAAAGAAATTTGAGGAATTATGTCCCCTAATATAATAAGAGAAGAGCAGAAGTCTCATCATGGACAAGAAAGTGCTCTTGTATGAATCCTTCTTACCATGCCTTATTGTATCACATACCTGTTGCTCTTTACGTGCTGCCCGCCTGCTGCACAGGAGCCCATCTTGCACCTTCAGGAGGAAAACAACCTCCAGGCCACTTCTATGGATGTGGAATATCATAGGCCTCCCACACTAAGCAAAACTATGAACACTTCAATATTTTTTTAGACACCATCTCCAATTAGTTGCCCAGGCCCATTAGTTTCAGATGGGATTTAATGAGCAGAGTTTGATGGCGCAGAGCAGCTGTTTTTGTTTTACTCCTCTTTATTGTCGATAAACCTTTGCCCCTACTACCTGACCCCTCCTTTTATTTCAGTAATTGCATTAAAGTCACTTCCCAACACTCAGGAATTTCCAAATCCATTCCTGCTCCAGGAAGGCCTGCTTGGAATTAAGAGCATCACTATCTCATTTCTGCTCACTCCCCCCACACTTCTTTTTGTTGTTGGCAGGAAAAAGGGACACTGACAACTTTCCACTAGTGCTACTGGATTCAAATACAGAGGACTTACACACCAGCCTCACTTAATACCTGATCTTATTTTACTATTTGCTTACTTCCCTGGTCACATCTTTCACAAGCTGATTCGTTTTTCAGATGTCATCCCAGACTTTTATACTTCAGTTATAGCACTATCGTTTGTCTCACCTAGTCTGGAGGACTAATTTGTGACATAGCTTGTGATGACATAAAACAATGCCCTTGAGCAATACCTGCCTCTTCTCTCAGTATACTTGAGTTTGCATTTAGTCACTAAACATGTCCTATATATTCACCATCTGCAATGCTGCCAGTATCCCTTTTCACTTTTATTCTGCTCATCAATTAATCCACCACTGCAAAAATACATATACTGTAGTGCCTTCTGTCTTGGTGAAACACAGGTCCAGACACAATGATTCTGAAGAAATTAATTATTCATCCATAAAGCAATTGGAACTATGGCAACTGGGACTCTATTCCTATAGCTGAGCTGGTAAAGTTCTTTCAACAAGGCAGAACTATATTTGCTAGGAGAAGGATATATGCGCATAATGTCCAACTAGAATTTCTCTCTAAAATGTCTAGCTGCCACACATTCTCTAGATATTGCCCACATAGCAGTGAATCAGGACTAACACTAATATATTCCTAGCAATTAATCTCAGGTTGTCTAGAACCACCACCACCCATACATAGTGTATATTAGGTTTTGTGGGCAACCATTTGGATAGTGTTCGTATTTAGGGATAGAGAAATGAACACAGGTCATCCAGACAGGTAAACTCAGTACATGATATTAAGCATTTTTCATTTTTGTGCCTTTTTTTCTTTTCAGATTACTGACACTTCTCTCTCAAAGGCACCTCCTGTAGGATGAATCCTTCCACAGCTGAACATTCAATGCATTTCCCCCACAAATCAGTGTACTTGTATCTCTGTAAATTAGAAAACTGGACTTCAGTATGAAAGGAATTCCCACAGTGCATGCAAAATGTTTCTTAGATAATAAGGTAGAACTAAACTCAGAATAAACTAGTAGTTTGGAACTATGAGCCCATCTTATTCCAAGCTACTCTTAGTTCACTGCAAATGTAATTATGTGACATCATCTAGGAAATACATTTGCATGCTAGAGCTCAAAGCAAAGGTGTTTCCATATAAGAGAGACATTGCAACAACAAGAAAAGGTACACTTAAGCATAATATTTTGCCTAATTGTAGGTGTTGGTGTGGAGTTTTTATTTCCTTCCCCCTGTCTAACTCAGTGCTTCACTCTCTGGTGGTCAAGAGAGAAAGATAAGCACATTCTTCTTTATTCAGTCACAATCATGAGATTCAAGCAAAACGGCTCTCTTCCTTACATAAGGCCTAGAAATTAGAGGAGATTACTAATAAACATCACAGAAAGTTTGGAACCAGGGTGGTTTCAGCACTGCTACTGGAGGACTGCCAGAACACAAGGATCTTTGTGCAGAAGCCAAAGCCATCTTTCCACAGTACTATTCTGAAAAGGTCAAGAAGTAATAACACAGCAACAAAATGATTTCCAAGATAAGGAACTGTCAATGCTTAGTACTCAATCCAATTCTGCTCCAAGACCTTTTTAATAGTTAACAAAAACAAATGCCATATTAATCTGAGCAAATTCTTTCCCAAGACAACTGTCTATAAATCCCATTCCACCTAATGGGATTGCAAGAGTAGAATTTATGTAGCCAGGATGCCTAAACACAAACTTAGACCAATCAACAATTTCCCACTCAAGCCAGGTAAATGTTGCATATATATCTTTCTGAAGACATCAGATGACATCATGGAAGAGTAGAGAAAACTGCTGCTAATATTAAATGCACAAATGCAGACATTGCTTTGAAGGCATGTCTGTTCCTCTTTCCTCCATGGCACAGCCTGACTTTGCATTTAGTTTGGTCAGCTTGCCTTGTGTGAGATCAGGTTCCTGATAGCAGGAGGCAAAGGAAAGTTCCAGCAAGCACCTGTGGTCCATGCTCTGTGCTTTATAATATTCACCTGAACAGTAGTGGGTCATTAGAAGTACATCATACTGGACAACTACCAATGATGTGCTACATCTTTGAATGCCACCTTCAGCTGACACTGAAACATGCAGGAGGGTGAAATTATCCTCCTTTGGGGTTATTCCTCATCTGTCCTGAGCTTCACAGTATGACCAAAGTGGGCAACTTCTTCAGGACCAACTGCCCTTTCCCTAGAATGAACTATCACAAACATCCCAATTTATTTCTGCAACATAAAGTCATCTCTTCTCCTTTACTTTTTCTGGAAAAACAATTTGTATAGCACTTTGCACACATTCTTTCAGAAGCTAGTAGCATTCCCACAAGCCTTCTAGAAGCACTGTTTTAATTGAAAATAAGGGGTTGCCAATCTTGTTCACAAAGCCAGTGCCTCCGCAAGGTTTCTGAGACTGTTAGGCTCCAGGAGAAGGCACAGACTAATGCGCAGTATGTCTACAGTCAAAACAAATGTGAAGAGTTTGTTTTTGTCATTCTTGCTTCCATATATTTATCAATGGGGGATGAAGACCAGTTGGGATGCCTGAGGTCCTAAAAAGGAGGGAAAGATTACATATGGTCTACATATTGTCCACCCTGCACCAAAGAAATGTCTAATGCCAAAATAGAATGAATACTTTTTTTTTTGCTGTAACGTTTTTTTTTAAACTTTTATTGAGTTTTTTAACATACAAAAAGCCACAAGATACCAAAAAAAAAGAAAACCAAAACGAAGAGACGAAAAGAAAAGAGAAAAAAAAAGAAAAAGAAAATCATATAGCAAAGAAAAAAAAAAGCAAACCTGATTTAACCCCTCTATCTGAAGTGCCCCCCCTTGGAGTCAAAGATTCCAGCCTCATTAGTCCTCTATTCTCCCTACATCTGTTTACAGCATATACTAATAAGTTTCTACATGTATCCTAAATTTCACCCTAAACTTCAATCTTCTTCTGGGCCCAGAGATATATTAGTCCCCAGCTTTGTTTTACATAGTCTCTTGGCTGTTCCCGCAATGCTTCTGATAGAGTGTCCAACTCTGCCATGTCCCATAGTTTCTTTAACAGCTCTTCCATCGTCGGAACCTCTTCTGGTTCATTCATAGAATGAATACTAAGACCCATTGCTTCTTAGGTATCAATCTCCTGCCTCCCAAGAGTGTGTCCTGGTCACATAACTAGAGAAACCCTGCCAGCAGCATTGCCCCATTTATGAACTGACTGTAGATTTACAGAACAGGGAGAGTAGTCTTTGGTGCAGCCATCCTTCATCTGGTGCCCTTCAGGTGGTCTGGACTATAATTCTCACCAGTACAACTAGTGGTCAGAGAAGACTGGAACTGTGGTTCAAAACACCTGGTTAGGGAGGGCTATGTCCTCTGTTGTCCAGCATCTTGTCTAGAAAAAGGTCAGTCTTTGTCTAGTGTCAACATTTATCCTTATTTATATAGTTAACAACACTGGGAAAACAAACAAATACCTACTGTTGCCAGGTAACAGCATCCACCATGTTCCCTGCTACCTTCATGAACCTGTGAGAAACAGAAAAGTAATAGGTTTCTGTGCACAAGAAGAGTCCACACATTGTATGCATGCACTTACTCATCCCACAATATGAAGTCACTGGCAGAGCTGGGATCTATTTATTTCTTGTACTGTAACTCTGAAAATCCTGTAGCGAACGAGGCCAATGCCCATAGTGTCTGTGGGACTATGGGATTGTAGTCCAAAACAAACAAACAAAATAACAACTCCACCCCAAACATGTCCTTTCTCTCATCACTAGAATCTTGTGAATGTCATTTTATAAAGTAAAAAGGCATAATCTGGCATGATCAATAATCATATTCACTCTAGTTCTGATCTGACAACATTTTCTTTAGGGAAATAATCTACTTCAGACAGAACACATTTATGAAGCTCTCTTTGGATGAGTCGGTGAGTTTCTCCAGGTAGTATGGTACCAATACAATATCTTCTGTTTTAAAATACATACTTAGCCATATCCTTTAGTGGCACAGTTACCTCAATAGCTGAGTTCTTGGAGAATACCTAATCTAAAGGCCCAAGAATGTTATCCTGAATGCCTGTTCCCAAAAAGCTACATAAGACACACCTTTCCATAAGACGCAACAATTTTTAGGAGAAGAAAACAGGGAAATATAATCTGTTTTCTTCGCTCCATAAGACGCACAGACTTTCCACCCCCCCCGTTTTGTGGGAAAAAAGTGCGTCTTATGGTGCGAAAAATATGGTACTTTAATCTAGTGTCTTCTAGAAGCCACCCAGAAAGGTAAGAAGTATAAACTTGTGCATCATTTGTACACAGCAAAACAATGATCTCCAAACACCAACACATACTTTGTTATTTTGAAGCCTGGTGATGCATACCCTGTCCAAAAGTAAAACAAACAAACAAACAAACAAGCCCTAATCAGAAATAATTTGATCAAAAGGACAAATCTACAAGATTTTTTTTTTGAGGTATGATATGTCGCTCAAAACCAGCATACCTAAAGGGAGCCTACATGGCTATAAAAACAGTCAGAGTGTTTAGTGTACTTCCCCCCCAGCTCTGTCATTTTTGAATTCTACAGGGAAGCTCAAACTGAATACATTGTCCAAATTTGTACTATGGTGTTTAATTTATTTTTACTGTAATGCTTTTATTGGCAATGACTGAGGCAATGGAAACTAAGAAATAAGAGGGGCAGGTTTGGGACTGGGACAGTATGAGCAAGGAGGACTGACAGGTCCCTTAACCCAAGAATCACTTCTGTTTTTTAACCTTAAGCAGACACAACCTGAACATTATCAGAGTCCCCACAACCATAGAAACCATGGAAAAATGACATCAAAGGTTAAATTAGGATGTCAAAGTGCAAGATGCTCACAACATAGATAGTTCAATGGCTACTATTTTATTTCTTTAGCACCGAGCAAGTGGAATCCAATTCTTCCATTTATTCTGCTATATGAAACTACCAATTTTCTAGTATTGATACATGCCTTGTCCTTTTGATTGTAGTGAGGGGACAAGATAGAATAGTTATCCATGTTGTTCATAGGGCTGTGCTGTTTGTTCAGTCTTCAAATGTAATCCTCAGTTTCTTGCTGTGGGCACAAAAAGCTAAGGACTAATGATGTTATGAATCAATGTCCCATGGTAGGCTGCCAGTGTTATCTTGTAGTGTGAGTTGTACACTGTTCTACACATGTACATGCATTCTGAGCATGGCCTAAATCAGTCATTTAGGTAACCCTGGATAACCCAGAGGTTCTTGAACTGCAGTTCTCAGAAGCCTTCACCACCAACTGTATTGGCTGGGGTTTCTGGAACAGTACAAGTTAAACCTGGGTTACCCAGCGTTGAGAACCACTGGTCTAAATCAGGGGTCTCCACTCCACATCTGGCCCGCCTTGCCTTTTTATCCGGCCCGGCGAACACCGGGCTCAGGTCTGTTCCCTTCAGCCTGTGCGTGAGTGCATGCATTTTTCTTCGGCCTTCAAAAGTGTGTAAAACATATGATGTGGACCTCATGCTGAAAAATGTGGAGACTTCTGGTCTAAATGAAAGACTAATCTGTAAATTTGTGATATGGCTTTTATTTCTAAAGTAAAGGTATGAAGAATTTGAAACTTGACAACTTTGTAAAATTAATTTTTAAATGTAGCTAGTTATGCTTTGATACATATAAGCCTTGCCTTTTCTCTTATTTTCAAAAACAAAGGATAATCATATTTGTTTTATTTTTCAGTTGCCATGTATTTAGTTATATTCTACAGATATACTTTATACATATATTCTACAGATGATTGTTTGATACATGAAATATATCTAAAGTTGGCAAGGAAGCCATATATTCACTATTAACCTCTCACACTTTACAGAACAGGATCAATGTCCATTGATTTGTACAGTACAACAGGAAAGCCCCCCTTTATGCTTAATGCAATTAGATTTCTTTCAAATATTTGTGACAATCCTGCACATAAACCATTTTGCAGCTCTTTACTCTGATTATGTTACCCTACATTCCACACCCCTGAATAAGATGGGATAATGTTGTGACACAGGACAATGCAGAGCAAAGTGGCACAGTTTTTAGCAAAGCATTTTGTTAATTCTGTATTGGCACTACACTTATTGATCTTGTTCAGCATGAGACCTTTCAAAAGAACACCTCTGCTGCACATTTCTGATTTCTCCTTCTCAACAGGAATGTCCTCTTGTCTTACTAACAATATTTTGCATGTGCTTTTGTGAAATTGCATGTTGCACATTCATATGTTCAATAACTCATGATTGATTTAAAGTCTGTCTCCAAAGTGCCTGAATGTCAGTTTTGTATATGCTGCAGATTTGGTAAAAATAGCCTGAACTCTGCAATACTAAATAAAGAAGGGTAATTATACTTCTCAGAAGACCAACGTCTAGTAACATGAGCTGACAAGCTTTGAAATATAGAGATTATTAATCAGAGAAGTACATAGGTAAGGAACACTTCTCAATTTATGATCTCCCTATAATGGCAGGATGGCATCATATGCAACTCATCTATCCCCACTTCCTTCTTTCCCTTACCTGGACATATTTTTCTTACTCTGTGGGAAGCCTCCTAGTAATAATTCATTTACAAAGATTTGAAGATTCTTTGAAAAACAGAAATGGCAGAATGGTATTCAGAAGGTGATGGTAAGGAAGCTGGAATCAATTGGATGAGCACTGGACCAGATTATTCATTCATCCATGTCTTAACAATGAAAAATTGTAAGATGTAGTATGCTGATCTTTAAAAAATTATATAAACTATTTCAATTTTTTACCTCTTGTTCTTTGGCATCCACATGACAACAATTGTATTTTTAACTCAATAATTTGTATTTCTCAAAAAAAATGGACAGCTGTATAGGAACTATATCCCCATGAAACAATGGCTATCGCCAGCTAAGATAATTAATATAATACAAAGACTCAACACTTTGACACCTCATTTTCCCACCTGGTGATATTTCCTTCTACTGTACTTGCATTTCCATTTTGTAAATAAAAGGCTTGCTAAAGCTGAGGCATATAATATCTACTATATTGGCCTGATCTGTTGGAATAACTCCTTGCCAAATGTCTGCTGGATTGGTTTTCCCTGTTGTCATCCTCATAAATCTGTGCCAGCTACTAGCAATTACACAGTTTTCCCATTGGTGCTTGAAACAGATTGATTTATAACCTGTTCTAATAATGTCCATAATATAAAAGTCAGACTAATGGATCTATAACTCCTGAACCTCTCCTTTCTTGCTTCTTAAATATAGACATTATATATTTGTTCTTATGCATCCTTCTGAGACTTCTTCTTTCTTCAATAAGGAATCCAAGATCATCATCATGACCCCATGAAATTCGTTTAGCACTTGACTATTCTTCTTTGATGTGTTCCTTTCTCCCGTGACCCACATCTGTTTTCTCTTCTTGTTTGTCATATATCTACTAAAAAGAGCGCACTAGTCTACAGAGTGGAGCTTAAGTCAAGTAGGATATGAATCAAGTAGGATATGAACTAACATGTGATAAGGGAATAGTCCCAGACCAGAGTGGCTGCAGTGTAAATCAGACCTTGGATGGGAATCTAAAGTTCATGCATAATAGAAGATGGAGGACAGACACATCTGTATCCCATGTGCACTAACAGTATTCCTTGTAATATGCAACCCTGTCAACTTTTTTATTGTGTTTACACTGTGTATTCAGGTCAGTGACAGAAACATTACCATGGGTTTTCTTGCACTAAGTGCAAAAGAACAGAAAATAAGAATATGACACATGTTGAAGAGATGATGGAGGCAGACACATCTATTGACTAACTGATTGATTGATTGATTGATTGATTGATTGAGTGATTTGTATTCACGAAGGCTTTCACGGCCGGGATCTAATGGTTGTTGTGGGTTTTTTCGGGCTTCTTGGCCGTGTTCTGAAGGTGGGTTTTCCTAACGTTTCGCCAGTCTCTGTGGCCAGCATCTTCAGAGGACAGCAAACGTTAGGAAAAACCACCGTCAGAACACAGCCAAAAAGCCCGAAAAACCCACACCAACAATTGATTGATTGATTGATTGATTATATTTCTATCCTGCGTTTCCTCCAATGAGCCGAGCCAACATAACATTATCCCCCTCTCTGCTTCATCTTCAGTCGTGAGAGGTAGGCCAGTCTAAGACAGCATGGCTGGGCCAAAATCACCCAGTGAGTTTCACAATCAATGGGGATTAATTAGAACCTGGATTTCCCAAGTCTCAGTTTAATACTCTAATCATGACACCACAATATATAAGAATGTTTCTACAATTTTCATAGTGTTTTTAATGACCATATAAAGAGGAATAGCCAAGATTTTTTCTTCACATTTTTACATAATTCTGTTTTTAAATTGTGGAGCTCAAAGTGCCCCACTCATAATGTGAATTAAGCAAATAATCCCAATTTACCTCATGTGTCTGATAAAAGTGTGCTACTTACCAAACAAAAATGCATCTT